TATGCCAACAACTAACTTTGATGTAGATATAAGAACACGGCTTGCATTCTTATGGATAATGAGTCATTTTTTCATAATAGTTAATCACAATTTTACGTACGTATAAAAACACAAAAGAAAACTTTATGTACATGTTAACTTAATCAAACGGTATTTTATTTGTGAAAAATGAATGATTTCTTTTAGGCAAATAGTCAGGTATTTCATCACCTAGAGAGATTTTTATGTGTGCTGCAAATTTGATTCGGTACATCAAGTGTCACAATTCACATGGTTAGATACTTGAAAAAAAAAATCCAACTACTTATATTATGGCACTTAGAGTTAGTGTACCAAGTCATGTTCCGTCATCTTAAATAGTTATCCATTACATACAATATGTACCCCATGAGAGTTGAAAAGAAGAATGTTGAAAATTAATGGATGCCTTTTGAAGGAGTGCTTTTTTTAGGTTTTAATTTAAAAAAACTAATGGAAAGAGCTTGGAAATTTTGAGTTTTAACGAAAATGAAAAAATAAAGGGTAAAGTGAATGGTACCAGAATTAACTTTTTAGTGTAAAAATATGATTTTTCGTTAAAGTGAACATTATAAGAAGCTTTTCCCTTTACTTTATGATGATCGTTTCCAAGATGTAGCATACCGATGAAGTAAAACTGTCTTCAAGATATGAATGCACGACACAACATTTCCTTAGTAATTGTATTAATAGCAGTTTTTTGTTTTGTTTTGTTTTTTTTTTGTTTTTGGTTTTTTTGTTTTTTGTGTCAAAGGTTACCAATAGAAGTTTAATGGGGTAGTTTTTTATTTATTTATTTTTTATTTTTTTATCACGATGGGTTTGATCTAGTAGAAGAAAGCAAAAACATGAGAAATGTTAAGAAAATTCTTTTAAAAGTGAGACTTTTTATGAACTCTCCGTCACTTTATTTTTTTAACATAATTTCTGCGCTAATTTTTATATTATAACCATTATACAAAAAAATGAGGTGACGAAGATTTTATAGAAAATCTCACTTTAAGAAATCTCCTTAATGAGACCATGTCAAAATTAATAATCATCTACATGCATCTCATGCATTTATAATGTTGTTGTGCATTATTAATACTATTGGCGTTGTTGTAGAGAGAAAAAAAGAAAAACATATATAATATAAATAGAATAAAAAGCTCAAGGCGTTTCAAAGCAGTCGAAATTTTGACCCTGACTCTCTTAAATTTGAATCAAAACTCACAAAAATTTGATTCTTATAAACATGATTCTCACAGTTATTAACCTCTAACTACTACAAAAAACAATGTAAAAATTAAACTCAAGAAGACAACCAATTTCCAACGTATGAAAACTAGACGTGTGTAAGTCGTCGTGGCCAATGTGGAAGATGTTTAGTGTTAGAGGATAGAGCCATACATCGAAAACTTCACAAAATAAATTAAAGTTCATATTGAATAGTTTCACTTCTAATTGAAACAAATAATTAGTAGTGTAACATTAATCCTAAGGATAAATTTTTAGTTATAACGGGAATACGGATGGTATATCACGTGTTTTTATCGAAGTGGTGGAAAATTTTAATTTTTAAGTTATTAATCTTTTAACACACATATTTCACCATTTATATAAGAACATATGATGTACTACTTTATGTGACGGTCACATTGAAAAATCTCTCAACCCTGAGATGTTAACAGTTAGATGATAATGTTGTTGTGCATCAACATCATGCAAGTTTTAGGCAGAAATATATAGCATATCCTAGTTTACTAGCAAAAGCTGAAAGCACACATACAAATGAAACGAGACAATTGATAAGCATACAGCTCCTTTGGATTCCCCTCTCTCCTCAATAGCAGAGAGATTTGGACATGGTGCACACAGCCCTAGAACCTGCCTCCCCACACAAGAACCGATTTTGCAATATTCTAGTTTTACTTTTTCGACTTTGGACTGATTATATTGACTATAGACTAAAGTTAAGGAAAAAGCCAAAAAGTCAAAAAGAAAAAGATATGTTATACATTTCAACTTGTAGTGTGTTTAGCAGGTGTCGCTTCGAGGTTAAAAGTGATTTAGTACAAGCTTTAAGCTTGGAACAGACTTATGATGGATGGAAATAATCAAAACATTAATGCATGATCATCTCTCGAGGAGAGCTTAAAGCTTTTGTGGGCGTGGTCTGTACAATATTTTAGAGTGGTGATTGTTGCTCATATTTGAGGTGATGGTGTATGTGGTTTATGTGCTTGATAAAGGATTATAAAAAGATAACTCGATATTTATTGAAGAGATTGACAGCAGGGCTTTTTTGTTAAAAATTGGAAGATCATCATACGTTGGTACGGTATTTTCCTCATGGAGTCTCCATGATAGTTATCGGCCTTGCAATGTTTAGTTCTCATGACTAGGTTTAGGGTTTAGGATTAAGGATTCTCCATGATTGAAGAATCATATTTTGTGTTTTATGTGTTTATAATTGTAGGTTTGTGATGTTATTTTGACATATGTAATCTCTTGAATTCTAAGAGGCATGTCTAACATGTCAGCCACATATATATGTTTTGATTCTAATGAAATTTCTTTAGATAAATAAAAAGTAACATTTGAATAATTTTATGATAATATATCCTAACAATAGAACACATCAGATTGTAGTCCATTCTTATTAAAACATGTAAAATAATTTACAACATAACTTGTCTCCCTAGGTACTCATAAAGAAACACCCGATACTTTTAAGCTACAATCAAAAGTTGTTAAAACACATAAAATAGTCACACACTTTCAAGCTACAATCAAAAGTTATCTGTATGAGATATTGAGGATTTTTTAAATGTTTTTAGATATTGAGTTTTTATCAATACGATCACCATATGCGAATAGTTTTGTTTAAAAGGAATTAGAAAATAGAGTCAACCATGTATAATTCGGATAAAAAAAATACTTAACTGAATTCTACTTGATCAAATCAATCCAAAACATATGTCATTCATACACAAGGACAATTATATACACCATCGTGAGTGTAACAGGCAATAATAATTCCCACCAAAACTATACAAATTAAAAGTCTCCCTTCTCACTATATTCCAAATTTTAAATTTGACCCAAAAAGTTACAAAATATAAAATGGACACGTTACTTGGGCTTCAAATCAAAGCAAATTCTTTGACATGGTTGGAATTTGATGGTCGTTGGAATTTGGTGGTTTTGAACACATTTTATATGACAATTCGGAACATCAATTGTCATATTGAAGCCAACTTAAGAATACGGGAGTGATTCTTTTTTTTTTTTTTTTCTCTCTATTTTCCTCCCTTCCTATTTGAACAGTCACGGTTAAACCACGTCAACATCTTATATTAATTTTTTATAATAAGAGAAAAATAAAATAAGAAAATGTGAGAAAAAAGAATGAAGATAATGAAAAAAAGGAGAGAAGATAATCCTAATCTAAGAAAAGATCATATTCATAATGCATGCATAGTTGACCAACAATCTTTTTGAATAACCTACAATGCCTTGTCAAATCACGAGGGAGGACTACATCAAATGGTCCAATAGTTGGACATGATCATGAACGTAGTAAAGGATAAATAAGAATTTCTGGAATATAAGTTATTGACGTTGCATTTTATAAAATAAGTCACCAAAATTTTTGAAAAATAATATTACTAGGTTTTCATTATTAAGTTTGACTATTATTGAATTTTATATTAACAATACTTAGAAGACAATCAATTTTTACGATAATTTAATTCATTAAACTGTTTCTTATTAATATTGATAGTTGTCAAAGAATGTACCAAGATTACCATTTGCTCGAATATCGAAGCCTCAATGTTTTCTCTTGCATGCTTACGAAAAGAAGAAAAGGGTTAAATTGCTTTACATAATGGCCAACTAAGTTAATGCAAAATGATGTGCCTCAAAGGCTCAAAGCACAAGAACACCCAACTTTGCCAAAAGTGGGATCTTTACTTGCAAGTAATGAGCAAAAAGGGTGACCTCCTTTTCTTTTCTTCATATGAATGCTTTTGCATATATATATATATTACGTACGACATTTTCAACCCCTCCTCCTTTTCTCTAGATATTGGATTCTCTTCAAGTCTTGCTTCAATGTTCTTTGTACTTGTGCACTAAAACCTTGTTGTGTGCTCTTTCTCTTGTATAAGACGATATTTTAAATTTGTTTAATGTATATAAAAGGAGATTCAAATTTAGGTGCAAGGTATCGAATACTGCTCTAAACCAACTAGTGGCTGGTTAGAACTTTGGTTTAGTGCTTTTTATACTTAAATTCTAAAAATTAATTTCAGGGTTTTTATTAAGAAAATCAGAATAATCATTTTGCACTCTAAAAACGTAATTATGCACCATACCAAGTGTTTTTTCGATCCTTTATATTTGTACATATTTGGAAAGCAAGATGACATTGTTGAAATGTTACAAATAGCTACCAAATGGAAATTCATACTCCAACCAATCACGTGGGGTTAGGTATCTATGATGTGGTAGGAGAAATTCTGCCTAAAGTTGGAGTATCCAATGAAGTTGATAATCACATCTACATTCCACTTTTCCCCTTCATAAGCAATTGGCTTTTTTCTTTTGAGCTTTTATTGCATCAAAGTGCTTTCTAAAGCCAGCAAAGCTCAACTCAATGGTCTACTTAGAACCTATTGTGCCTAACTTCACTAGAGGCAGAGGGCCCAAAAGCTAGCAGAAGGGAAAGATTTTGAGTGTAATCAGAAGTATATCCTGTGGTTGCACGGTAGAATCTCTCCAGTGCAAATGAGATCACCTTTCTATTAATGGATTGGCAATGAGAGGCCAGTTCAATCATCTACTATCTCAAAGGAATGGCCCATGATTAACAGAAAACGGACTTTTTACGAGCCTAGCAGAGTTTACTATTTTAATTAGCAGAAAATCCAACATCAGTGTATAATTACCATGTAATTCGACAAATAAGGGAAGCAAATTAACAATTACCAATATGTGGTGAATGGAGGTCATTAAATTAACTCGTCTGAAATGTAATGACCTACAATTTACTGGTTCATAACAAAATAGGACCTTGACTGAATTCAAAAGGTTGGAAACCACTGTCAATAACATCCAGAAAAACATGGTTTCTTGCAACATACGCAATTCTGTCACACTAACCAAAAGACCCGACTCAATCCTTGCTGAAAGAAATCATACGGATTAGAATCTCGCTGCAATACTCTCTCAGCTACCTAGACTGACACCAAGAGTGTTTGCATCAACAAAATGTCCTATTTGCTAGTTTTCAACATCATGGATGCTGCCTTAGGCATTGCCCTTGCGCCTCTGCCTCAATCTTCCACCAATGCTGTCTGGACTTGGTTCAGCAAGAACACGCTTCTTGTTGAGCTTTGAACCTGTGCCCAATGCAGGACTGCTATCTGGAATTTCCATTTTTTCCTCTTGTAAGTCATCATCCTTAAGCTCGTTTCCTTTCCTGCGTCTCTGCCTTAGTCTTCCACCTATACTATCAGTGCTTGGTTCAATATCCAGAGCAGGCTTCATTTCAGACTTTGAGCTAGTTTCCAATGCATTATTGCTACTACCAAGTTTCATATCCATCAAAGGCATTGTATTCTCTTTCCCACCTTGACGATCATCTCTGCTGCTCTCAGTCTCAGATTGAAGCTTTGACAATCCAAGGTGGTCACCAACCTTGTGGTCAACCTCAGGTGATCCAAAACTTTCAGGCTGTTGTACCACATCTGAAAAGGACAATCCCCTCTCTGCAGAAGTTTGGTTGTTAATATCTAGATTTGTGCTATTCTTGATATCATTCTCCTTCTCACTCTTAAACTCGTCATCTCTTTCTTGCCAAGTTAGAAGTTTTATCGCTCCAATATCATTGTCATCCTTGACAATTTCTTCACATGATGCATCTACATCTGGGAATTGCAACGACCTCTTTGCAGAAACTTGATTCGTGGTTTCCAGATTTTCTCCTGAATTTGTCTGTCCTTGTTGGGTGTGAATGAGATAGTGTGCAACTGATTTGAAACCTAGTTGTGATACCTGGAAAGTAGACAAAATTAATCTTAGCCCCGTTGCCCAGGGACAAAAGAGAGAACAAAAAATATGTGGCATGGTTTTGAAAGGAACCTTCTTGTAGAGGATGCCAGTAGGAGGCCATCCTTTTTTTGTCCGACAGAAACTACAGTTGCAAATTCCGCGGCAGACAGGGCAAATCCAATCTGGATTCTGATTGGCTTCAATTACATGCTCCCCATATCTGCTCCAAGAAGATAAATAAATAAGTATAAACATTGGATTAACACATTTAAGAATGCATGAGTCAACCATTACAAAAAGAGGTTAGGTAGCCCTCTTGCAAAGCACAAAAGGATGATTCATACAAGCCAACTGTGTAGAACATATCTGAGGCAAAACCTACGAGATGTGTGAAGTCCAACCGATGAAAATTTTGTTAGCCACCCACTTTTTTCCTTTCCTTTTGGGGCTTCCGGGGGAATGTCCATGCAATACATTAATCATTAATACTATATATCATTTAAAGTTGACCTTCATTGGAATTTGACAGTCTGCAGTCATAGTATTCTAAAGGAACTTCTCTGTGTATAGTTGACAAAAAATAAAAAAAAAAAAAAAAAAAAACTTGCTATAATTCCATCATGCCACTGCAGCCTAAGCTTCACCCAGCTTGTTTCACTCCCATAAAATGCAAGGAAATTGATATAAGGATTGTAAGACAAGCATCACTGAGGTCAGCACGTTGCAATTCACATAAAAGAAATAAAAATGGAATCTACGTGTCAACTTCAAATTAGGGACAGCATAAGTGGGAACCCAGTAGTAAAAAACAGCAGGTTGTAAAGTTTGACAATCAAAGCAAGTGCCCAAGAGGAGCATTCTAGGAGTCTACGGTTTTTAACCGCTTTGCAACGTTACAACAATCTGCCTAATGTTTACAAACCAATGGGACCAAACTGATACTAGATGAGAGAAGAAACTTTCAAGAGTATATAGTTTACCGCATGTACAGACAATCGCCACAAAACTGCCCTTGGAGCCTGTTGCATTGGTTGCATTGAGTATGATGGCCCAGAGTTTTCTGCCTGTAAAACAGAATTTCAATCTTGCAAATATATTAAGCCAATGCACTAGTCCAGAAAGACCTATACTACAACGCTTATCGAGACACAGCATATGGCAAGAAAATGATACTGAAATTATGGACATGGAGGGTGAATATTTCATTAGTACTTTGTCACTATAATATTCCATGTTCATACCAGTTATGTTCCTTACCTTGTCCTCCACTCTAATTAGCGCTCATTTGGAAGTGCTTTTAAAATGACTGAAAGCACTTTTGGTGAAATGTTTTTGGGTTCCAAAAGCACTTGAAGTGCTTTTCACTTGCATTTTACTAAGGATTGGTTCCAACAACACTCATCAAAAGCGCTCTCAATCATTTTAAAAGCACTTTCAAACAAGCCCTTAATCATCTTTTAAATATCCCAAACCTTTTGTTTTATCCTAGCTTATCATTCTCTCCGAGTCTAAAAAAAGGCATTCGATATTTAGATAAGGCTGCATTTTGGCAGAAAAATGTATACCTGCATTGATGGCAAGTCTTTCCTCTAACCGGGTCATAAATCCGCTTTCCATCTTTTCCATAACCATCCACAAACAGAGTCCAGGTCTTATCAGTGTTGCCCAACAGCGTCTCATGCTCCTGTGTGTAAATCTCCGGCCTATCACCCTCCTCCAGCGTAATACCTTTCATGTACGAAGCCTCATCCTTCTTCAACACATGCACCTCTGCGTAGCTCACTGGTGTCGCATTCTTCAATCTGAACCCATAAAACAAAATCATGGAAAAAACCAAAAGAAATCAACTCTAACCAAATTGAAGTAAAAGTAACTGAGAACCCAATCCACATTCTCCAAAGTCAAGTACCAAAAAGCATTCACACTCAGAAACAGCTTCAAACCAACAACAATCACAGACCTGGTCGAATAACGATTTAATCTTTAAAGCAAAAACGTGTGTGATTTTTCAAATTTTGAGAACCCATCAAACATTCAAAACCAGAAACAGTAAAAAGCCACCAGAATCAGAGACCCATTTGTTAAATATTCTAATTTCTAAGGGCAAATTTTCATTATCCAAGAAGTTAACGGAGAGGGCATGGGAAAGATTACCTAGACGAACGACGAGTGGGTCCTCGTGACCGAATGGAAGTGGGTCCTGACAGGCGTCGTACTTCGGCCGGAATAGCTCTTCGTTGATCTAATCGACTGAAAGTTAGATTTGAGCTGAAGAGAGATATCAACGATGCCGAGCTTTTGCATTCTTTCGCGGTTTTCTCTGATTCGATCTTCTCTGGACTGCTCGTACAGAGACTTGGGGGTTTGGGGGTGCTCATTGTTGCTTCGAGGGTTAGGGTTTGCTGAGGATTCTAGGGCAACAGTCTTCATTCCCAGAGTTGGCATTGTGAACTCTCTCTGTCTCTGGGAATCTGATGAGTCTCTGCGGGTGTGGGTGACTTGAATTTACTCTCTCTCTCTCTCTTGGACTCTGAGTCGCAGTGGGCGATTTGAATCCCTCGCTCCAACGGTCAAATTTGGAGCCCAAATTGTGGATTTTCCCCTATTTAGCAAACATGGGGAGAGAGATTAAGCATTAGGACTCCTAATTTAGGACACACCATTTTCAGTGTGTTTTTTCTTTATTGGCATTTTGGGGCATGTCCGGCATGGGGTTTATATTTTTCTATTGCCTTGTTTTTTTTTCTTTATTGATTAATGGAAAATACAACTAATTTAATAAGAATAATGCTAAGTACGTAAAATAATGCGTCACTAATTAAATATGTGCTTTAATTCAAACTGAAATTTGATTAATAGTTACAATAAAAATTTATACGGTGTAGATTATGTGACATCATTTGGTGCACAAATTAAGTGCACGAATTTCGTGTATGTAACGCCATCCATTTCATAATCATTTTGGTTTATTTCCTTTTTTCAAATTTCGTTATTAATTCCTATAAACAAAGATTTCGTTATTTGTACTAAAAAAAAAGATTTGGTTATTAATTTTTCCATATTTAATGTTATTTAAAAAATTTAAAAGATTTATTTGGCAACCAATTTTAGTTTTTTGGTAACCAATTTAAGTTTTGTTATTAGACTTCGTTGCTCAACTCGGTCACTGACAAAGTTCGAGCTTTGACCGTCAAAATGCTACAGACTTTTTGTAATAGGACGTTAATTTTTATGACAAAATTTCAACGAGTTGGGTTGGCATGCAGGTGCACTAACGGCTCCAAGAAAAGGAGTGACGTGGTGAAATCTAGGACGTTGAATTTCCAACGGCATATTTTTGGATCGTTGGATTTCAATGGTAAAAAAATTTTGAAATTCGACCTGAACGGCTAGATGACGTATCTGAATTGTTGGATTTCCAAATCAATGGTCCAGGTTTTTTGGCATTAAAAAAATCAGAAAAATTGGAATTGTTGCCATTGGTATATGTGTCACAATGGTCTAGAATAATTAAGTGATTAAAAAAAATTATAAATTATATTTTATTATTTATAAAAAATTTTAAAATATTAATATTTTAATTGGTTGACTATTCAATTTAAGCATAAAGATACATTTAGACCATTAATATTCACTGAAGGAGATTGGGTTGCCAATAGCCTCGGATTGTTTGGTGTTGGCAGTGTTTTGTTTTCGGTTTTCGTTTTTCGTTTGGGCTTGAGTTTCTTCAGGTAGTTATTTTTCTGACCAAATTTTATTGGACAGAACACTATCTCATGAACAACTATATAATTCTGTAGGACTGAAGGTGCACGTCTAGAGGTAGGTTTGGGTTCTTTTTTGGTCAATAGGTAGGTTTGGATCTAAGATTTTCAACTTTTGGGTTTTCAAAATCTTTTAAATATATTAATCAAAACCAGGTTTTTAGTTAAAATAATTTTTGAAATTGGCATAACTTCTCATTTTGATCTTTGACAATAAAATTCAATAGAAGTAGTCTGTGTTTGTCCACAGTATATCATTTTGATCATTCTGTGAAAAATAAGTCAAAATCCTCGTTAAGTGAAGATTAAAGTTTGACAAAAATAATTTTTAAAAGGTAGTCACGTGGTTGTTTATGTGATAATTTAATGAGGATATTACCATATTTTTCATGGAATGACCAAAATAATTTACAGTGAACAAATTAAAGACCTCTATCAATTTTCATTTCCAGGATCAAAGTAAGGAGTTATGCCAGTATAATTTTTTATTAAAAAAAAAAAAAAAACCTAATCAAATCTGGTTTTATAGTATAAGATATGGACTCACTGCATGCGGATCAATAATTAAATCGATAAATTAAATAGCAGTTGTATCAACTTCTAACAAAGCCAACAAGAAGCTCCCCCTATGACTGTCTATGATTCTATGACGTGAGTGAGTCATTGTTTGCATGGTTGCAGAAGCAACCTAAAATGTCCTCAACGGTTGAGAAAATCCCACCAATGTTGGTCAACTAAACTCATCAAAACGTGTTCATAGATCAGGACTTTACCTCTACAAATAGGCCACACCAAATGCAGCAGCAGCTGGAAAATTAGAACAGTATAAATCTTACAAGTTTTCACCAATGGCTTCTTTTAGCTTCTCTCGTAGCAAGAAGCTGCTGCATATATAGTTACTTTTTAGGACTTAGTTTTCATATCATCGACTTTGTGAAGCTTCAAAGCTGCATGGCCATGGATTATTCTTACACTGTGGCCTGCGTAGGGTTTGTTCTTTTGATCGTTTTTAATCTGAGTTATTTGGGAAATGCTGCTGAGAATCAAGGGTTAGGAGCTTCTTTTATCTTTGGTGATTCTCTGGTTGATGCTGGAAACAACAACTATTTGCCCACGTTGTCGAAGGCCAATATGGCTCCGAACGGGATTGATTTCAAGGCGTCTGGAGGAAAACCAACTGGAAGGTTTACCAACGGCAGAACCATTGGTGATATTGTTGGTAAGGGTATCCTTGTTGGTAGTATAACCTCTTCTCCAATATAAGCCGGTCTAACGTGCGTACGGGAAAAACTTACAGATGTCATGTTGTATACTCATTTCTTTTTATCTTGTACATTGCATAGTTAGTATATATGACGAGTAAGATGAAAGAAAGGGGTGTATAACATGTTACATGGGAGTTTTTATTTTTTATCGACTGTAGAGGACGATATAAACTTGACATTTATCAACGTTGTGAAACATAGTTTTTAACTTGGGGTGTGTTATTTGTTTATGCAGGAGAAGAATTGGGGCAACCAAAGTATGCACTCCCATATTTGTCACCAGATGCCAAAGGGAAAGCCCTATTGGTTGGGGTGAATTATGCATCAGGAGCAGCAGGGATTATGAATGCAACAGGAAGAATATTTGTAATTAGCTAGCTCTCAACCCTCTGTGGATTAACCTTGCTTAGTTTAATTTATGCACTTAAATAACACATGTTTTGTCTGATCACAGAGGATTAAACCATAAATGTTGCAGGTTAATAGGGTGGGAATGGATATCCAAGTTGATTTTTTCAACCAGACAAGGATGCAGATCGACAACGTATTGGGTCCATCACAGGCAAAAGAGTACATTATGAAAAGATCTATTTTTTCAGTCACAATTGGGTCCAATGACTTTTTGAACAATTATCTACTACCAGTCCTCTACATTGGAGCAAGAATTTCTCAGAGCCCAGATGCTTTTATTGATGATTTGATCTCTCACTTCAGAGTCCAACTTACTGTACGTATATTTTGTTAAAAGTTTTTTTATTTTAATTTTTTTAATAGGATATTCTAAACTACTATAATTTACTTAGAAGGGATATTCAACCTTGGCGTATACAGCAGTCACACTTTTATTACCTAACCCACATCTGTACATACATATTTAAGTTAATCCACTACCACTTTTCTTGATTAATTGGGTTCTTAATTATGGTTATTGACTAATTGATTTGTGCAGAGACTTTATCAATTGGATGCTCGCAAATTTGTGATTGGAAATGTTGGACCTATTGGATGCATACCTTACCAAAGGACCATAAATCAACTGAATGCAGACCAGTGTGTGGATTTGCCAAATAAGCTAGCTCTTCAGTACAATGGGCGGTTGAAGGGCTTGCTTGCTGAACTGAGTGAGAACCTTCCAGGATCAACATTTGTTTATGCAAACGTGTATGATGTAGTGATGGATGTCATTACAAATTATGACAAATATGGTAAGCCCAAATAAACCTAACATGTTTAATGAGCTATATATTTCTAGTGACACTATAATCTAGAGCTAGTCTCAGCGTTTACTCATATAGATGATGAGTTTGATACCTAGAGTGATAACAACAACTGTATGGATTCTGAGAAGAAAATCAAAACTAAATTTCAAACCTATTATATTAGACTCAGTGAATATTGGTTTCTGAACCTGTCATAATGCGAAACAATAGTCATTTTGAATAACTCTGCTAGAACTTCCGTAATGTTCCAATTTTCCCTAATAGTATTGATATATATGCAGGATTTACAACAGCAAGTGTAGCATGCTGTGGAATTGGTGGCCAATACGCAGGTATAATTCCATGTGGTCCACAATCCAGTCTCTGCAAGGATCGGTCGATGCATGTTTTCTGGGATCCCTACCATCCAAGTGAAGCTGCCAACCTTATACTTGCCAAAAAATTGCTTGATGGAGACACAAGAATCATTTCTCCAATGAATCTCAGACAACTCAGAGACCATGGATTAGGGTAACTATGTAATGGTGGTTAACTTAATGTGCTGCTGGATTTGTTGGTGACATACCCCTGCATTTGTGGTAAACTTTGTGTCAGTTTAAGGTTGCCTTTAATAAGCCTTGAGTAGGCCTTCAGGCTATCTTAAATGAGTTAGTGTTTTTTAGGCATGCTACTATAGGCCCATACCAACAGATTGAATGATTGGTTGTTTGTTTTAGGTTGTTTGCTTACTCCATAAGTAATTCAATTTCATTATCAAATGGATTGTACCATAAGGGTGTTAAATCTATGTTAAGTTCTTTTTTATGACTTGGTGACAAGGACTTTTATAATTTCTGTATGTTGATACTAAGGGAGAACCACAAATTAATCAAACTGTATTCTAAGTCAGTTTGCAATTCTCATGTAAATGTAAAGACAGAAAACAAGACAAATTAACTTGAAAAATAAAGTATTTAAAGCGATGAAAAGTAAAGGCATGTTAGATTTTGAATCAACAGAATAATAACTTGCATGAAATGTAAATGAATTAAAGATATACAGTAAATACATGCATTCGGGCAAGACTACTCGCCAGTCTGGCAAGTTCTTGAAAGTACAGGATGTGTTGAGAAAGGAAATTCACTACAGAAATCGATACTACAAAGAAAGTAGCAGAGTTAAAAATATAAAGAGTGTTTGAACTACGAAGGGAATTTGTAAAAAGTAGGCTTATAGAACTTTGAAGTCTTTTTGTATGTTGAGTTGAATGTAATTTTCTTCTTCCTTTTGCTACCTTTTAAGAACATCCTCTTTCTTCCAGAGTAAGCCCTTTTAGTTCATTCCCTCTAATCCAAGTGGCTGATTTGATTGCTGTTAGATGATGAGTTTTCACTTGGATACTTGAGCTTTTATCCCTTGAAACTAAGAAATTGCGACTGGAAAGTACTTATTGTCTGTGAAACTCGACTAAGTAATTTTCCTTCTGTGTGAAAGAGGGTTTTTGCCACCCACAATTGCCATGTCATAAAGCACTTTTAAATTTTAGGTCGTGCACTGTTTATTTGTTGCACAACCATTAGGCTTCAGACATAATTCATATGGGCCTTGGACAGTTCCAAGAGTCTATTTTTAGTCCAAACTGGGTTAATGATTCAGTTGGAATTTTCTTCCATCACATTCTAGTGATCCAGTTTCTGCCTTTCCTAAGGTAGCAATGAAAAGGTTTGACTTTAGCTTTGATTCTGCTTTCTCTTCTTAAGTTGAGCCAGCTCTATTCAAACAAGTTTGAAAGCTGGCTCTTTTTCAGCTCTATATTAACTATTGACCCATCTCTACACCCTCCAGCAATCTAGTTCCAGTCTTAAGATTAATCTCCACCCTTCGCAGGGCTCCCCTTTTATTAAGAATTTGTGCATGGGCGACTTGCTGGTTAGGCGAGTGGGTACAACCATGCATGCCTTTATTATGTAAATTGGTGTAACAAATGCTAGCCCTTTTCAAATAATGTTTATGCCTTATTTGGTTTGGGAGATTTGGGGACTTGGTTTTAGGATTTTTATTAAATTTTGGTTCGATGAACTTTAAATGTGTAAGTAGTTACGTTCAAATTGGAATAGAGAACAATGTATGAAAACCTTGAGTTCAGGAGAGATTTTTCAATGTGATCGGTACACGGGGTGGTACACCACGTGTCACCATATAAATAGTGGGATATGTGTGCTAAAAAGTTAATAACTTAAAAAATAAAATTTTCAACCACTTCTATTAAAACACATGGTATACTACTTATGTTCTTGTCACAATGAAAAATTTCTTGAGTTCAGAGTTTGATATCCCTTCCAATGTAACAAAAAAAATTAACAAGAACGTGGAAGTATTATTTCATTCCCCAGCAAAATCAACTCTGCAACCAAATCATTTAGAACTTACTTTTGAGTCTTGTGGTGTGAAATTATATATTCCACATCCATGTCTCTTTCAACTAATTCAAGCTTTCATGTTGAATCTAAATCTTACGTTCACAAGCTTGTACAGTTTGAAGACGTTTTTCAAGATGCTGGAAGATGTCTCACCTGGCGCCATCAAGCATGCTTGAATAATTCATGTTTGTGTACGGCAGTTATAGGTTTCTTATAAAAGGTTTTGTTTTAAGGAAAACTGATGAAAAATTCTTAAAAATTTTAGTTTTTAATCAAAATAATAAAATAAAGGTGTAAGTAAATAGTACTAGAAGTAATTTTTCAAAGTAAAATATCCTTAACGTTAAAAGTAAATAGTACCAAAAGTGTTTTATTAAGATTCCTTTTATTTTATGACAATGTGCACCGCTATCACCACAAAATTTAACACGCAGCCTTCTTTATTTTTTGTTCAAAGGATATTATGCACTGAGTCTAGTATAGGGCTAGTTTCGGTTTGGTAACCAAACCAAAAATGTTAAACTGAAAATCAATACAAAATTTCGATTAACTAAAAATCAAATCGTAAATGATCCGAAATTTTTGGTGATCCAAAGTTTGATAAAATGAAAAATTGAATTGGTTTCGGTTTGCTTTGGTAAACGAAAATTGAATCGGCCTCTGTTTGTTAGGCCGAAGTTTTTAGGCTATCTTAATTTAGCCCATATTTAAGAGATTTTGAGTGTCAAAGTTTGGCAAAATTTTTATGTGAGCTTGAAAGTTTGAATTGGAATGTCAAATTTTTATGTAACTTAAAAAATTCAGCGAAATTTGCAGCAGTAGCAAATGGCGGTGGTCTGGTAAAAGAGAGAGAATGATTGAATGAGTTTGTTATTATGAACTAATGAGTGAGATTAATCTCAACCGAACACACTAATATACTATATATATCTAAAAAATAGATTTCGGTTCGGTTTCACCTTCTTTATGAACCAATGGTTGAGATTAATCTCAACCAAATACACAAATATAGTTTGCTTACCGAAATCGAACCAAAAAGTTTGGTAAATTTTGGTTTGGATATATTTCGGTTTTGGTAATTTTGATTTTGTAATTTTCAGTTCGATTTCTGTATTTAGTTAAGAAATGTCAACACTAATTATCTAGTATATTAAAATTGAGTAATGCTAGTAGATTAAATTTGTAGACTAAATTTGCACACTAAATGATGTATTACCAATAAGAAATAAGCATGTTAATCAACACTGAAGTAAGAATCCACAATGAGACAAATTATCAATGATCACATTTATCAATGATGATTAAGAGAGACATGTTATGTATCATTCCGTGTCAGAAATAAAAAAAAGTCAAATACAACTCAGAGTGAGACAAATTAAGAGAGACATAGATAGCAATCAAAATCACTGTACACTATACAAATTAAGAGAGACAAATTATCAACACTTAAGTAAGAAATAAGAAAAAGGCCAAATACAACCCAGAGTGAGACAAATTAAGAGAGACATAGATAGCGATCAAAATCATTGTTCTAAAAATCCCCGCCTAGGCGCTAGGTGGCTGGCCACCGCTCAGATTAATGTCTAAGCGTTTGAAAATTAAGAAATGACTCTTAGACTTGCTGAGGCATCCGCCTAGGCACTCACCTAGGTTGCGATTCACTTAGGTAGAAAATAGATAACTTTCATTTTGCATTTTATTTTTTTTCAATAAATTGTAAAAGACTTGTTAAATACTTAAATGAGCACAAATTATATGCTTGTTCCCCATATTTTCATTATGGTCCAATACTTCATAATATTTGTGTCATTCTATTTTGTAGTTTATGATGAAGTTATATATATTTTAAGTATACACATATACTTATTTACACGAAATATAATGGATTTAGTTAAATTCGCCTAGTCCGCCTAGACCCCGTCTAACTGTCTGGGCGCTAGACCTCAACGCACCACCCAACTAGAGCCAACCGTCTTTTAGAACCTTGATCAAAACTCTCAACTGATGGAGAAAGGAAGAAAACGGAGGCGTTGTCAGTGCTGATCGGAGATCGAATAAGCAGTAAGCAGTAAGCTGTGAGCAGTAAGCAGTAGGGGAGGAGTGGATGGAGACTGACAGGGCTGAAAGCGACCTATGATTGATTGCCGGAGACATTTTTGTGGCCCTCTGTGGCTGAGCGTGCTATTATCCTCTTGACCGACAACCAGGCCACATGATTTTCTCCGCCGTGTGTCGCTGTGATAGGGCCCCCTATATACCTTGTTCATATGAGCTGATTTTAAAGGGAGAATCCTTCATCTTATTCTTATCCAAGACTTTGCGATGGAGACAAAAGTATAATACAATCTTTTGTATCTGCATTTGTTTTTATAAAAACTACTTTGATGTACTTCTAATCTTAAATCTTTAAAAGAATTTAGTGTCTAATCCCAATATCTCCCTCTCTTTTTGTTTTTTCGTTCTTGTTTTTCTTATTTGGTTGGTCCTATTCAAACCCAAAAAGATGTGTTGAGTACCCTTCTCAAACTTGTTCATCAAAATTTTGCAATTGCAAAACAAAAACTAGTAATTCTGATCTAATGCTAGTCAACAACTTGTAAGCAAGACCTACTAAGTGTTGTTGACACCTGCTAATGACTCATGAGTGTTGCCGAGATCTCTTTAGTTGGTATTTCGTTGACACTTGATGGACACTATGGACCACATACCAAATATCTGGAAGGTCCTCGAAAGACCTTCTCAAACATTTTTCCTGACTTTCGGGACCACCTTAATTCAGTAATGGATCTGCCCCCGACGGGTAAACTATCACTTAGTATTGCTTAATTATCTATTGTTGTTTACAAACATGAATATGGTTAAGTAACCAAATCGACTAATGTCAACTTACATAACAAGTAGCTCATAAGTGTTATTGTTAGAAGTTATCTTTTTATAACGTACTTAAGTTTTATTAAACGGGTAAATTAGGGACATTAAATTTGTAAATAAAATTTTGTAAAGTAAATAACATGGAAGTTGATGATTGAATTATTATTTAATCGTTGGTAAATGTGCTCATTTCTATTAATGACATATCATTTAGTTAGCAAATCTACAAATTTAGTCTCTCTAACATTACTCTTATTAAAAACGTAAGTGCTAGCCTCTTCATGTGCTTTTTTAAGAAGTGATTAATTTTTGGAAAAACGCGTGGAAATACTTCTTTAAGAAGCATATAGCTAGTGCTTCTCCAGACAATATTTTTATGACCCACCTATTTTTAATTTTTTATGTCAAATATAGAGATAAATGTTATTAGATATTAAAAAAATGGTTAATTACAAATAACTACTCAACTTTGAAGGTGATTCCAAATTGGTCTCAACCTTTAGAGGTGATTCCAAATTGGTCTTAACCTTTTAA